TCTAGTATTTATCAAGGTTCAAGAATCATTAGAAAACGGATCGTATTGGGCAGAGGTCTTCACTGTTATGACTGGAAAATAATCCTTTGAATATATAACGGGTAAAGTATAACGATGTCATAATAGAATAACAGCTATTCTGAAAAAGCAAAGGGCCACAACGTGTATCATAACTTATGTAACATTGTTTTTAGGAAAAACTTTTTATAAAGTTGCGAACATAAAATGTAGAATCACAGTTGCACCTCAAAAGTCCATCGGAAAAGGTATTTTTAATGTTGAAAAACCTTCTAATTGATCATCTCGATATTGAGGTATAAGCATATGAAAAAAAAATAAGATTTTGAGTGCAAAAAATAATGTATCTTGCAACACATTATCTAGACCGTGTATTTTCAAGATTTTCATATGTTTTATAGATCTACTTGATTTCAACAATTTTTAGAGTTTAAAATTTTTGAAATAATCACAATAAGTTTTTACACCAAAATTATTTAGAGGTGCGGCTGCGCCTAAATTGGATTGTTTAAAGTTGCAACCTTATAGAAACTACACCTTTGTTTTTAATATCTGAAACCCATTTTAACTGTTGCTACAAAACAAAAACTACAGCCCATTTTAACTGCTGCTACATGACAAAAACTAATTTTTAAAGGGAAAAGTTTAAATATGGTTGCAACTTTAAAATATAGAATTAAAGATGCACCACAAAAATCCACCATAAAAGGTTCTTTAGATGTTGGAAAACCCTGATCATCTCAATATCGAGATGTATGAATATGAAAAGAAAAAAGGATTTCAAGTCCGTGAAACACTATGTCTTGTAACACATTATCTAGACTGTCCATTTTCAAGATTTTCATGTGTTTATAGATCTAGTTGATTTGAACCATTTTTAGAGTTTAAAATTTTATAATTAGAGATGAAAATAGATTCTCAAGCAATCCTAATATTTTTTTCTATCAAAAGTATATTTATGATAAAATATTAGAGAAGCGCCTTAATTGGATTCTTTAAGGTTGCAACCTTATGCAAACCACACCCTTTTTTAAATGGAAAAGTTTATATAAGGTTGCAACCTCAAAATATAGAATCACAGATGCACCTCAAAAATCTGTCGGAAATATTGTTTTAATGTTAATAAAACCTTCTAATCGATCATCTCGATATTAAGATGTATGAATATTAAAAAAAAAAAAGGTTGTCTCGAAAATAGTGCATCTTGCAACCCATTATCTAGAACGTCCATTTTCAAGATTTCCATATATTTATAGATCTACTTGATTTTAACCATTTTTGAAATTTAAAATTTTCTAATTAGGTATGAAAATAAATTTTAAAATAATACTAAGAAATTTTTATAACAAAATTACTTGTTATGATAAAATTTTAAGGTGCGCCTTGATTGGATTGTTTAAGGTTGCATCCTAATAGAAACCGCACCCTTTTTAAAAAGCATGGTATCTTTTCATAACTGGTATTTATACGATGTGCCCATTATCCTTGTATAACGTAACAGGAAGAACAATACCTGTTTTGGTTGACTTTAAATGTAAGTTATAACATGGTCTTGAAATCCATTATAGCTAATCAATAGCCAGGGGCAGTGCCATTAAGAAATGGACCTAGCCCTTTTATGGAAAGAACCACTCAATTTTAAAAGTAATTAAATCTTTTTCCAATTTTTAACTAACGAAATTATAGGATTTTTAAGTTTTAACTAAAGGCCATTTTTACTTAAAATTATTAGTATCAACATCATCCAAGCTTTATCTTAATTATGTGGAATCCGCTATATGAATCACGTTCTCCATTCTTCTCTAACAAAGACCATACTGTCAGTAAGGCCAAAAGTTAACATATCTTTTCTTACTATTTCGATTCATGCCTATTTGAAAAAAATAAAAAACAAATAAAATCGTAACAACACAATATCCACATTTTTTATTTCGCTTCCCCTGACAGGAGCGCAGGATTGGTTTGCCATCCACCATTTTATGGGCCTCAAGGGCATCTGTTTCACCTCGAACATACTTGTCCTTGGACTCATTGGATAAAAAAGAATTAAAAATAAATTAAAAATTAGTATTTTGGATTGGATAGGTGTAGATCATCCAATTCATTGGGAGCTAGATCTAGTTATTTAGAAACTCAAAAGTTATTATTTTATAGAAAGTTATTCTTTTTATTTTTTTGGGGTAATGCAGTAAGGATAACGACCCCCTGACTATTTTTTAAATTATTCGTGGTTTTTAAATGCATTAGATGATAATAAAAGCCTAGATCTTAGCTGGGGTACAAGTGGTACTACGACCACTACCCAAACCCCATTCTCAAAAAAAACTAAAAAATTCATTTTGTGATAACATTGTGACCAATAAAATTTGGCCAAAAGAAAGTTCCTGAGGGCCTCAATCTAACAATATTGTTTCCTTCGTAAAATGGCTTCTCCGTATTTATTGTATTTTCTCTCTTTTTGGAAAAATCATTTTCTGCTCTTTAAAATTTTATCTCATGATCTTCTGTGGCGGAGAAAACAGGGGAGGGTTACTATTATTCGGATCCCACCCCTTGGGGAATGAAATATTTTTTAAGTATTGATATGCTTTTGTATTGTTTTATTGAATTATTTTATTCATTATATATAATTAGTGTCGACACGTCGAGGTGCCAACATACTTGTGAACACTAAACTAATTGCCATGATAAAACTAAGCTAAATGCCACGATGAAACTAATGTTACCACACACACATATATATATTTTCCACTAAAAATGTCAACACGGATTATGTGGTGTTTCTTAACCATTATTCAATGTTTTTTTATTTTATTTTATTTATGTATGATGAACATAAGCCATGAGGATTTGAACATTGGATCGTCTGGGAAGTGCCCCAAACCTTTGGGTACTGTCCTACCAATGAAAAAAAAAAAACAGGAAAATTAAAATTGGGTCTCAGGATGACATCCTCAGACCGAGAGGTAATTTTGTAAAAACAAAAAGTCAGATTGACCTATCTTGGTTATAATATTCACATATAAGAGGAGCACACCATATTTTCCCTACTTATATTGGGGCCAATACCTAATTAACTCTTTTTCCAATGGGAAAAGTTTATACAAAGCCGAGGCTCTAAACAATCTCAAAATTTTCACTAGAAGAGGTTGTTTTGATGCTCAAATATCATCAAATTGATCATCTCGACATCAAGATGTATTTACATGAGAAAAATAAATAAATTTCAAGTTTTGGAAGTAGTGTATTTTGTAACGAATTTTTGGACCGTCAATTTTCAAGATTTTTAAGTTTTCATAGATCTCTCGATCTAAACTATTTTTTGAGCTTTAAACTTTGGGCATCCTTTTTATGCTTTTCCTACAGCATAAAACTTATGTACTTCTCCTTATCCAACCGTCTATTCTGAATGGGGGGCTAAGATTGTCCCAATCACAATGTCACGTCTCTACACTATTTTATTTTTAATTTTTTTTATAAACTATTTTGACACCAAATTTTGGACGTCCAATCGTCTATTAAACTCGCACTAGTGAAAAATATAAAACAATATTCCAAATAATATAAAATGACCAAAATACCCCTGAAATATTCAAGGGGTATTTTGGTCATTATATTTTATCAAAAAATTATTTTTAATATTTTTTATAGGTGCGTCCTAATGAGAAGATGACAAGTACAAAATTTTATATTCATATAATTTTTATAAAAAAAATTTAAAGTAAAATATTTTGAAACATCGGATCTAAGATCAAATGGTGAATAGCTCTTTTGATCAAAATTGGACAACTGAATAGTAGGGAAGCATAAATCTTCTATGCGGTAGGAGAAGTATAGAAACTTTTCCCATAAACTTTATTGTAAATGACCTTGTGAGACCCTCCCACATTCATGTGTGTAGGACCCCAAATCATTACTATTAAATTTGACACAGGTCTCTAGAAAAGTCAAGTCTCACATCAATGTGATAATTTTTTAGAGATCTGTGTTAAATTTAATTGTGATCTTTTGAGATCCTATACACATTTGTGAGGGAGGGTCTCCCAAGATCATTACTCAAAACTTTATAAATAAAAAATAAAAATATATTTTAAAACTATTAAAAAAATTTCCCATATTAAAACAACATACCTATATACTATTTGAAGGTAGGCTCTTATTATTTATAGCCTAACTCTATACAAATAAGCACCCTTTTTGAATTGAGGAGTCTGATCAAATTGGTCACTAGCCTTTAGGTTTCTGTAGAACAGTAGCATAAACGTAGAGCATTGGGCAACCAAAAGAATGACAACAATGTACGTTCCTTCCTGCCTGCAAAATAACCAAATAATCAATCTCTTGGGATGATGTTAACTGATTGGATGGGAGGCCAAACAGACGTGTCGTCCTTTGCTCAGCCACACAATTTGGCAGGTTTTGGATTCTATGCTTCAGGGGTAAATTCGAAAGTATTCCTGCTCCACGTCTCTCAAAGATTTCCAAATGGTGAACTGTGCTACACCATACATGATAATACTGTACTCCATGGTCACAGCCCTTGAAAATATAGGGTCTGGCTATGAAATGTGGCCCGAAGGCCAGGTTTGAGCCAGTACCTGCCCGATTTGGCTCAACCTTTTTTTTGTTTTTATTTTATTTTATTTTTATTTTTTGGCAGTCCTGTCTGGCCAAGCCCTAACAGGGCTAGGGCCGGCCATATGTGGACATGGCTGGCCTGCCCCGGGCTCCGCCATTGCCACGCTTATGTACTATATACGTATGATACACCACCCGTGTGAATATAGATAAATTTGTACTTTGAATATCAAGGCTTTAAAACACTTATGGTAAATGCTTTATTCATCCAAATAAATCTTAATAAATGCCAAGCTTTACCGGCCATCTAGCCAAAATATCCAAATATTAACCCAAAAGGAACTAAAAAGTCCCAAAAGGAACTAAAAATGCCTGATTATACAAATATATGAAGGAAAAAAATTTAAGAAGATTCGCTATACACCTATACACATATGTGTTTTCAGCTTTTCATATAAAAAGGGATTTGGTTTGCCGAATAAAGTAGCACAGAAGGATAGAGAGAGAAAAATAAAAGAGGGAAATGGGAACCGAAAACACTAATCCCTTCTCTTGCTCTGAACTTTACTTTGTGTTCATGGATTACGACCCCCAGTATGAGCTCCTTCGAGCTATCAGGTTCACAGTTCATAAATATAGAAGTTCATAAAATAAGAATTATATATTCTTACATTTCCTTCCACTCTCGATGAAATGGCTTGCTCACAATGAGGATGGCGATTAATATTATCCCATTATATTACTTGTGTTGTGGGTTTTATTTTTCATAACTATTTTTTCGTTTTTGGTTTTCATGATCAAATTTATTATTAGCAGCATTTTTAAAAATATGGGTGATGTTCATTTATTAGGTCAGTGCAAGGGGAGGAAGAGCTGGATTCTTTTCTGAGCAAGAAGCACGACATGTTGCTCGGGCGCTTATTTGAGCCGGGGAGTTACCAGAAGAGGTTCTCATGGGCCATTGTTGATGGGTTCGCTGCTGAACTAACAAGTGATCAGGTAAAGTTTGATTCACTGTTTTCACTTTTATTCTGGGAAATAAAAAGGCATTTCTTTTTATTTATTTTTAGCACTGTATATATTCAGTTTGTTAATTTCAAAAACTGCAAAAATGGAAGGATCATTTTTATTTTGGATTGATATATGTTTTTTGGTTTGGTTTCAAAAGAAAGAAAGAAAATTGATGCTTCTAGGTTCTTTTCCATTTTTCTGGTTTTGCAATGTGAAGAAACACAGATAGGTCTTGATCTACCAAAAAAAATTAGTTTCTTTTATTTTAGTGATTTTAAGACGTGATATTATTTTCCCAAAAACTAAAATGCAATCCTTTTATCTTTTTAATTCCAATAGTGTCATAATTTCTTTGGAATGGGATTTTGTTGGAATGGGATTTTGTTTTTATGATTTTCTTTGAGTTGAAAAATGAAATATATTGAAGATGTTTTGAACTCTCAAAGCAGTACCTTTTCTTAGCAATCCAAATAATATATTTCGTTCCTTTTTTTTTTTAATTCTCTTTCCTGTGTATTTCTCTTGTTTTTCTTTTATTGGAGAAGTTTCTCTGTTGGTGATGATCACAGGCGGACAAGCTGAGATGTGCTGATGGGGTGAGAGTTGTGGAGAAGAACCAAGAACTGGGCTAATTTAGTAAAAAATATATTCACTTATTAATATAGCAAGTGATTAAAGAACAATTGTTTAAAATATTTATATTGATGAACCGAGAATGATGGTATGATTGTTAGATGACTTTTGGTTTACTTTATGTAAATCGGAAAATTGTGATATCCCTTAAAAAATCACAAAAAAGGTGTGACCAAGCGTATTCTACAATACAATACTCCGTTCCTGCCGAGCTCCTGAGTTGACCCCCCCAAAAACAAAGGAAAAGAAAGAAAAAGAAAAATCGAAGTGAGGTCCACCGATGCACATAAAGCAAATAAAGTAAGGCGAACCTATAAATTTTGCTAAAAGATATTGTTTTGGAGCCATAAATTTTTTAATCGACTCAACAAAAAATGATGCAAATTGAGTAGATTGATAAATACTAAAAAAAATCCTGAAAATGAAATGTCTATAAAATGTGTTACAAGATGCATTATTTTTTATAACTTTAATCATTTATTTATTTATACATCTTGAGCTCAAGATGATCAATAAATTTGACACCATATATAAATTTTCCTGTACTTATTTTAATTTTTTGCTTTTAGTATAATTTTATGTAATTTCGTGCTACATCATATGGAAATGGAAATGGTGGGTGGGCTTAGGTTGGCCTGTACAAAGCATAGTTACCGGGAGTAGGAGCGGTGCCGGTTCTGTGAGCGAGAGCATTGGATTGATGGCTACCCAAAGCTCCGGAGCTCAAGAGCAAGTTCTAGTGAGGGTAGAAGTTACGGATCGAGATTCCGATTGAACAGGGAGCGAGATCCCGATACATTGGGATCTAGATCCCTATTTAACGGAACGCGTTTCATGTAGTTACGGACCGAGATCCTGTTTGAATAGGGAGTGAGATCCCATTTAAGAGGGAGCGAGATCCTGATATATTGGGATCGAGATCCCTATTTTATGGGAACGTGTTCCATGTAAAATGGGATCGCGATCCCATGTCTATTAGAATTGCGGTCCCATCGACAACTAGAATGAGGTCCTATTTAATGTTGAGTCTCGCCCCTATCTAAAAAATACCGCGATCTTATTTGGCTAGGATCGAGCTCCAAGTATTGTAGGATCACATTCCGGACAATAGTGCTCAGCACCTACATCACAGAACTCTACTTGTATGAAGAACCCAATTCCATTACACATGGATTCGTGCACCCAATAAGAACGGTAGCCCGTTCTCATAGAAATGTGAACTCGATTTGGTTAAATTTAGAACCCGAAAGGGACATGGGAGCGATAAAACCAACAAAAAAAAAATCTACTGGGATTAAAATCTAAAAAGAACCCCAAGCGCTGAAAAAAAAGATACCGGGCTAAATACCTGAAAGGGACCCCGGGGCAATGAAAAAGAAGAAGTTATCTCCTTCCTTCTAGTCTCCAAAGTCTTTTTTCTCTAAACATCTTCTCTTCCTCCCCCTGAGTCAAAGTGGTGTTAAAAGAAAATCAATAAGAATTAGCTTGACGAAACATTGTTAAGGACCTAGAGCGCCTGAAACTTTGAAAGGTGGGTCGTGAAGGAGCGAAATCGGAAATCCAAAGAGATTCTGAACACCCAAGGACAGTGTCCTGTATTTTCAAGACTCTGTTTTGCTCGAAACTCAAGAGAACTCTTTTTTAATTGCAACACAAGAGCTGAGGTTGGAAGATAAAGAAGTACTTGATGATTCCCTGTTCCGAAGTTCAAGCAAAGACCCGATACGTTCATATAGGGTCCACCAAAGGGGTCACAAGTGGTCAAACTGTAAGACCTACATTAAAAGAAAACCACCCCCCAACAGGGGCAGCAAGAAATATATATATAAAAAATAATAACTCCACGATCATATGAGTATAATTGTTGACTACACTGTCCATCGCTGCATGACGTTAACTGCTTAGACCGCTCTATGGTTGCAGGAGTTTAAACTGCTAACCAACCTTGTTTTTTGAAATATCTTCCCCTTTTAAAATTTTCACTATATGTCTTGTGTTTTCAAAAACTTTAATTTCTTTGTTAAAATCGTAACATGTCCCTGCTCCGGGTTCTATTTCAAATCTCCCCCTATCTTCAAAATTTCTAAAACGTCTTTTAAAACGAAAGAGCTTGGACACCCGTACATGATGAGTACCGCATTTGCCATGATTGACGTGTTGCTACCTCGTCTCTCACTTCGGATTCCGCCAGACAAGTCTCTACCTATAGAAAGCCTTTCCTATAGACAACCTTAAGAAACTCTAAGGAGATCAAAGAAGATGTCAAGGTTATAAATTTTCTAATTGTAAAACCCCTGAAGTTAAGTGGCATGGCAATAAAATCTAACTCGAGTTTCAAGATTGTGTAACTCATCGACATCTCACGTCGAAAACCTTAGGAGGAAAAATGCCCCAGGTGGGTGAGCTTAATGAGCGCAATGACTTAGAGGGATAGTTAGTGTGCCTTCTGACCACGCGACCTCAGGAAGAAATCTTTGATGTTCACCTGGCCCTCGAAAGACAGGGAATGTCAGAGTGTCTACTTCTTTGCCACTCACCTGTCTCTCGAAAGACAACGAATGCCAAAGAGGGGCAACTGTAGACACCCAATTTTAAATCTGAAAATTCTGTAGTTTCCTAAACCCTTAGGATCACACTTAACTTAGTAAACCCATTTTGGATAAGTACGTGTAGATTATGTGAGTATATCCTCCCCAATGGATTTTATAAACCATATTTTTGTGGTCATTTGGAGGGAGAAGAAAGAGACCAAACCCTAAGAGAGAGCAGATAGAGATAAAAAATTAGAGAGACCAAAACCCTAGGGAAGAGAACAGATAGAGATCAGAGAGAGAAAAACCAGAGAGAGTTACACGAGAGAAGAGAAAACCCTAGAAACTGCTTCAGGAACCCAAGCCTCCTGAGAGAAAACCTAAGTCTAAGAAAACCTAAACCTATGGCACAACCACCCTAGATCTACCCTTAGGGCACAACCACCCTTCTTCAAACCTTCTTCAACCAGAGACTTTCTGGTGAACATCCAACTCAGAGAGACAAAAGAGGATCAAATCTAATACGGGCGAGCCCCAGAAGGCTCGGGAGTCCTCGGCCATCTGCTCTGGTTTGGTATCATTTTTTACTCTTTTATTATTTATTTTATGCTTTTATTTCATTTTAATTAGATTAAATTTTTTTTTATTACTTTTTATTTCGTGTTTCATATTTGTATCAATGATGGCACTGCCACTGATCTGAGAATAGATTCGGTCGTTTCTCGATGGATTTGTCCTCAGATCAGAATTCTATTTTCCCCACATTCTCTATCATCTTCTTTTAAAATCAGTTTGTGGTGTTCAAATCTGAGGGATATTCCTTTGAAGATCTCTCTGATTTTGCACTGTAAATATAGGGCTGTCAGCAAAAAGGGGTGATCAGTGTAGCTGTCACCGTTAGCGATTCAAAGAAGGCTGCCTCTCAGACTTTAGACCTCTCCAAAGGGATAGGCAGAGCAAAGACAATGCCTCAAGGTAGCAAGGAGCAGCAATCATATAACCGGGTACCTCCACCTGTGAACCTTAATCGAGATGATTATTGGACCAGGCATAAGAATAAGGTTTACCATTTAGAAAAAGAACGGGTTCCGACACTACTCCGGTTGTTACTAAAACAAAACATGATCGAGCTGCTTGAGTCCAAGTTTTCTGAGCAAGCTGGTCTTGACACTCATAGGAACCATCGAAGGATTAACCACCCTATAGAGGAATGCTACACGCTCAAGGACATCATCGAGGCTCTGATCTAAAAGGGTCAGATAAAACTCGAAGAGCTAAAGAAGGCATTCGGGGCAGCAGAAGCTTCCCACATAGTGACGGTCCATGAGGAAGATGAAGCGCCCGGCCACCTTCATGCCTTGTTTGTCATGATGCTTCAAGATGGCCTCATCACACTAAAGCCGGCAAGGCAGCCTCGACGCCTTGCTCAGGGAACTGATAACCATTGGTGCCCATACCATCAGATATGGGGCCACGACTTGAGCAAGTGCTCCAGTTTACATGGCATAATCGCAAATAAAATATAAGGATGACAAGAAGCTTATCCCCAAGTCACTGCTTCATCGGTGCGAGGGGGCCCCAAGACACAAGACATGAGTAATGATGATTCAGATCTTGCTGAACCCTCAACTTTCCAACCATGGAGAATCTATCATGGGAGAAGCAGATTCAAGTCCTTAAAACATGAGGCAATTCGTCATGCTAGGGCTGCTCACAAACCTAATGAGATGGACCAAACACCTCCAAATGTACTCAGGAGGAGACGAGCCCCAAGGGCAGCTCGCAGAAGGAACAAGCCTCCTCAACCGTCGCACGAGCAAGAGTTTCTCAAGCCTCTTCCTCCCTTGCCGACCTTACAAGATTTCATCCCTGGCACAATCATTTGTCCTACTCCTTCACTTCCTCAAGAGGATATCTTGAGCCATCTTCTGCTTAGGGCACGTCCAATGAGGGTGACGATATTGAAAGCACCTCACAATGGTCTAGGCAGGGGAAAGACCTAAAAGACTCTATGCAAATGTCCAATTCAGGCGATAACCTAAAAAGTTACCCAGATGGGTCTAATGAGGGGAATGACCTTAAAGCTCCCTCAGCTACTAACCCTTCTTCTTCTTCTTTTTCTTCCTCTTCTTCTTCTATGTCTCCTATAGGTATAATCTTGAAATGTCCAGACTTTGAGGCTGTAGACAGAGAACTCGAAGGAACCAATATAAGCAGGACGCATCGGAGGCGGCTAAGAAATACACTAGCCCAGGAGGCTGGATTCTTAACAGTTGCTGACGCCTTGGCAACTCGAGCCAAGTCAGAGTCATCTTCTTCCATAAAGAAGCACAAGAAGACAAAGCCGAAGAAACCCCAATAGCTCCCTGAGCCTGACTTTGAGCAGAGGTTGAGATAATCAAGAGGGCAGAACATCTATTCATAGGAAGCCTCTCACATGGTGCAGATCTCATATGCATCACCCAGCACAGGGCAAACGCTGCAGATACCCGTACAAGGATTGAGTGATTCCTGTGAGGTCACCTCTAGCCTCACAATTACTGAACCTCAACCTCCCTGTGACTATCAGATCAAACTCCCATAGC